TAAAGTCCATCACCGGTGACCTACAACTTTAGGGCCACTAGAATAATCCACTAGAATAATGATGTAGGGCTGTACACTGAGGTTAAACAAATATCTTAATTAAAATTAAATCGGAGCACATTGGTACGTCTCAAGGACATTTATAACATTGGCAACAAAGAGGCATACCCTGGCGACAAGAATCTCTTGGGGCCAACCATTAATTCACCAGTGTGGAGTAGGTCAAAAAGTTTAGATGGATAGTTAAATTAAAATTAAATCGGAGTCCACCTATGCCCGTCAAGGCTATTATTTATTCCCGTCTAGGTTCACTGCTGAATTTACTGGGTGGGGCAACATGCGGGTCACTGTTGTAGGCCGATGGAGTTAAGTTTAGATCGGTTTTTAAATCTAAATTAAATTATACCGCATTCATGCATTCAAGGTTTGGGAGATGAGCTAAGAGCATTGGCTTCCAACGGATTTTGTATTGAGTCTCTAAGAATCGATGAAATTTTAAAAGGGTCAATTATGATCACAGGATCGACTGGAAGTCTATAGCCAGATGTGTACGGCAATACATCGGCATAATTAAATTGTAAAAAAAAAAATTGATAATTAATTCGCTATTGATATGAAGCTATATTATGCAGTAAGAAAGAAATCATACAAAATAAATATAACAATAATATTTTATTATATAGGAAAAACATACTAAAATTACTTAATATATTTTTTATAGCAATATAGTATTTTAGTATAGGAAAAACATACTAAAATTACTTAATATATTTTTTATTGCAATAACACGTTTTTTAAAATATAAACTTCGTATGCAATAAGTATGATATACAATAAGAAAGTAATATACAGGAATAGCATAAAATACAACCAAAAAAAATGCGAAATAACGCAAAACCAATTGAAGTATAATGTAACGATCGTCTGTTATGGAAAAGAATCGTATCTCCTCAGGAGATATATTGTTATTTACAAGCCAGTTAAAAATTAAAAAATAATAATAAAAAAAAAAAGATTTTTAATTTCTTTTTTAGGACATTAAAAACTTCAATATGCCAGCCAGGCTCATAGAACCTCCTCAGTTATGATTTATCTGATATTGATACTTTGATGCAAGAACCGACTGCAATGAAAGGAAAATGTTCAAGCGCAAATCTTATTCAAAACACATAATACGCTAAATTGGGGAATTTAAAAGCTTTTCGAGAGAAATATTCTAAAATAAAAGTGGTTCCATTAAGTAAGCAAAGGAATATTGGTTACCGAACCAATATTCCTGTTCTTACTTACTGGAAAGCAAGCTTTAGTCAAGTCAATAATTTACTATATTACTCATATATTGACCTATAATTTGATCATGCGTTGGTTCGTGATTATCGTCAAACACATGGTCACCAGTGACTGCTAAAGTCATTGGTTACTGATTAATATGAAATAATTTACGCCTTTCTAACCTCTAAATAATATAACTATAAAATGATGTCTAGAATGTATTTAGAAACTTTGATTCAACAAAGCGTAAAATTTAAGTTGCCTTCACCGGCATCGGAATTATTACTATTATTTTTAATGTTTCATGTGCTTTCTGAGACATTTAGCACCATTTATAATTAGACTTATAATCTTTTACTGATGTTCTTTCTGTTAGAATAGTAATAATATAATCATAATAATAATATGTTACTTTTATTATTATTATTCATTTATTATTGTAAATATGGCCATTTTGTTCTGCATATAAGTTGTACATTTCTTTTATAATCTTTTCATAGTAAGGTATTACCTGCAAAACCGTTTTTTCAATGCATGCACAATGGTTATTTGGTAATTGTATTCATTATGAATTCTTATGACTATGAGTCATATAAATTACTAATAAATTTATAAGACTTTGACTATTATGAATTTATATGACTATGAATTTTAATTACTTTCTTTTTTTCACAGGAGGCAAAACCTTCAAATCATGCAACAATCCAAAGCCTTGTGCATGCTCTGGGATTAAATCCCAATGTACCAACGCCATGCTGTGTGCCTTCTGTAACCAAACCGTTGACTTTACTGTACTTTGACGAGAATGGCAGCCTTGTATTAAAGAATTATCCAAATATGATAGTAGAAAAATGCGCATGCAGGTGAAGGAGTACAATTTTTTTTGACATGAAAAATCTTGGAAATAAATGAAAGTTCAACGAAATATACTTTTTGTGAATTTGCAGTTTCAAAAGCTACTGAATGTCAACATAGCACGTAACGTCATTAATTTGGCATTACATATGCTAGATGTCTGACTCATTGATGGCATATTGTGTTCTTCCTGTAAATAATTTTTGAAACATATTGTACGTTGTCAAGATTGGCAGTCTACTGAACATTATCAAAGGATGATTGCGTAAAATTATTCAAGAGTAAATTTTTATCTTTCCATCAGATGATGCAAATTCTCCAAATAACGTAGCAGTTTACAGCTTCTGTGGGTATAATTCTAATGCATCAGTTCTGCGCTGTTTATGTTTCTGTAATCTGTTCACTGACTTTACTGAACTCGGACACGAAAATTAGTAATGCATTAAAATATATTGTCTAATTACAATAATAATTGTCTAATTACAGTTTAGTTTCTGTAGGGCACAAATTTAAAAAAAAGTATAGATTATTTTTTCCGCTGAAGATATACGTCAATGAAATGCTTAGTGCCTTGTGACATTATTTAACGGAGTATTAAAACTTTTTAATGTCATGAAACTATATATATGAGTATCTTATCACTATTTGCCTGATATTATTTTATTTTAAGAATGATAGCATTGTATTAAAGTATAATCTGAAGTCATTGCTGGAATATTTCTCTTCAGTGAAATGATGTAAAAATTTTGCAGCACGGAACGCATATCATTGTAGATAATATTAAATCAATGGAGCGGGTTCTTCTACGTTTAGAATTAAAAAAACTAATGAATGTTACCTTATCATGAGATTTATGTGATGTCTTCATTGAATAAAGATCTAATTTTCAATATAAAATCGTTCTTTCTTTATTAGCAATAAATGTTAAAATCATTAGGGTAAATAAAATATAATAACTTATATTTTTTTATGTTTTACGTTTTTTCATTATCTTATTATTTTTATCTTTACTATCACTTCTATTTTCGTCAGCTCACACCAGAAAATAAATTAATCAACATATATAAGAACGAAGTTCTTGAACTTAAGGGACAGCTTTTGCTAGCGACCGCTAATGTTTCGACCTTACTTTTAGATTTCTTTAATAGCTTTTGCTAGCTTATTTCAACAGCCTCAGCTAAAACTTAGAGTAGGGCTTTGTCTTGTGAATGTATTCTCTAACTGTTTAATTTTACCTTAACCTTTGTGTTTGTTAATCTCGTAAGAAGTGGTGACTTCTGTTACTAGACGAGCTACGTAGTTTTGTTAAAACTGAAGAACTATAAATAAAAAAGGTTCGCTTTAAACCTTTTTCTGAGTTCCGTTTTATTTTACTGGAAATTTAAAACGGGGCCATGCCTTGCCTCACTGCCTACATGGAGCCAAAATTTAGCACTGGAGAAGAAACGTTCAGTACTCCAGTGCTAAATTTTGCGTACTTCCAGTGCTACTAGCTACGCTGGCGACCAACGTAAACAATTAATTATATGCCTGGAGATAGTGTTAGTTTTAGTTAGCGTCACAAGTTGTTAGAATGCCTGTAAAACCGATGGAATGTTTCGGGTATCTCAATAGATGCCTTGTGAGCTTCAACGTAGCCAACCGTTAGTTTTGATTGTAGGAGTTTTGTAATATTTTTTGTTGGAAGGGCTGGAAAACCACTTGTTATTGCATTCAGTTGGAGAGCAATAGAAGGTTCCCGCACCAAAGCCGTTTTGAAAGGCAGACCTTGAGACCTAGAGGTAATCTTTGATATGTGAATTCACAGATGTTTTAAGTCTTATAATTTTAAAACCACTTTATTATTAAAAATATTTATTGCAGTAAGGACTGGAATCTCAATTGGAGTCGGAATCGTCCGCAAATATCAAATATTAGGGGAAGAACTGACGACACTAGTACTGAGAAAAGTGGGAGATTGTTAAATTCTTGAATCGGGAAAAAACTGGATTATGGACGTCATTAGAGTTGATTATGCCGAGGTTGCTACCGATGTACAGAATTTCATCGTAATCAGAAATCTTGGTACGTTGGTAGAATTATCCGAGTTGGCTACAAAATACAAAACCCGTAGGGTAGTGAAAGCATAAAGCTTCTGAAATGCAACTGAACACGGTGCGTTGTTAAAAACTGTCGAGTTGCCTCATATGGTAATAGCTTTGAATAGAAACCCTTCAGTAGCGCTATTGGATAGATGGGCACAAAGCAACTCTTAGCGTAGAAAGTTTTTAAATTGTTTCAGGAGGTATATGTTGTTTGAAGTTTTAGTGATGAAAGTCCTAATAGCATGGTAAGATCATGAGTAGTGTGACCTTAATGTACAGGTTAAGAATTAAATGCATCATGTTTTGTTCTATGTTATGAGTAATTTGGAGGCGAATGTTATATTGGGTTTGGTATTTTTCAAATTATAGGGCTCGGGCATTGAATTCCATGCAGATAGGGTGCAGTTTGAGAGGAAGGGAATAAAAGGAAAGGGGAGAGCAGCACCAGACTGTACCTGCAACAGGTGCTGCAGGAAGATAAAGAAAAACTCTAGAAGTTGTAAAAAAAATTTTAGCATTGTTCGACAAAACTCATAATTAACACACGTAGCAATGCATTAGATAGAGACTGGCGATAATATTCCTTGAATATCAAAGAGGTATGATAAAGTTAAGGAAAGGTAATGAAAAAATTTATTGAAGACATGATTAGAAATAATATAATCCTTACTTCATAAAAATATTATATTCCCTACGGATTTAAAAATGGATGCAAAAACTTTCTATCAAATATAGTCACAGGAAACAATTTCAGAAAAAAAATTTCATAAGTTATCATAACGATCAGACTTAGATCCAGAAGGAATTCGAACTCAGATTTCACTGCTTCGTGCAGCTTGGGATGTAGTCGTCTCGGTTTTGAGGTCACAGGTGGTCTACTGGTCAAGATATGGTGCACTGTGCTATGAGGAACAGTCTGCTTAATTAGAGTAGGATTTGTTATATCTGGAAACTCAAAAAGCAAGGAGTCATAATCTGAATTAAACCGAAACAGTGACAATAGAAAGTTGCTTTTGTGAGTAACATTGCCATAAGTAAATAATGAAGTTTCAAGATTTATAAGACACTGCCTTTTCAAATCAACAAGATTAAAATATTTCAAAAAGTCAGCACTGATGATAGGAGAAGTTACATCAGCAATCACAAATGTCCATGAGAAGGGTTTCTGGAGACCTAAGTCCAACTGTCTGTGTACAAATCCATATGCAAGGATTTTAGAGTTGTTGGCAGCTAAAAGGGCAAATGTTTCACAACACTTTCTTTTATCTTTAGGGGAAGGGGGTAACACTGAGATCTCACTACCAGAATCATGGCCAATCTTCCTCGAAGCACAATACAATGTGATATTTTTCTCAGGAAAGAACAACCGTGACTCGGTGCCGTAACAGCAACACATCTGACTCTAAGTCAAAATGCCGTGTATTCAAATCACGTTCGGGTTAAGCTAGCACTTGGTAGCTTATAATTCTTTTTTATTTATGTTTCACAGCATAAAAATTTCTCAACTACTTTCTTGTAAAGCAATTTAAGCCTGTTTTATAGCTCCTAAACTTTCCATCATTTAAAAAATAAAAATTCTCTTCAGATTGTCACTTTTCTAACCTTGTCAAATCATCCCCCCCCCATAATTCGACAAAAATTATGAGGGGGAAAATTAATACAATTATCAAAGCATTGAACGCAGTAAGTATAATAACTTGTTCTAAATTACAGATGAAATAAATTACATCTTCACCATAAAATGGAACGTATTAATGTAAATAATAAACTTTCATTGATGTAATTGTTTCACCCGGATAAATTTTTTAATAAAATAACTATTTTTTTTTTTTTCTGAAATGCAATTATAATAATAATAGCTATCTTTAAAACAGCTCTTCTATAATTTTTCTATCCCTCAAAAAGGTATAAAAATAACATTAAAAAAATCCTTTCCTACGCCTATGCCTAACAAAAATTTAATAATAAAACTACACCCTACGGCGATACAATTATTTTATTAATAGCTTAGACGTTGTTATTAAATTCTTTTGTAGAAATTTATTATACGAAAATTATAAAATTCTGTGAACATAAATCTCTCTTATTACCTTAACTGAGTGCATGATATTTTAGTTCGGTGTATTATCGCCTCGGTCTAGACATGGCTGTAGGTACAATATAAGGAAAAGAAATGCGTTTTAAAAATTAAATTTATTTAAATATTGTGTAAAACAGTTAACCAGACTTACAGCGATTAAAAGAATTATGATTTTCTTTTTCTTAAATGGAAGTTATATGGAATGGAAGTTATTATGGAAGTTATATCCACTCTTCCGGCATCCATAATTGTTACAAGTGTACCAAAAAATTTTTATTATATGTAGGACCTAACTTATAAAAATAAACCACTGAAAATTTCAAATATTTTGAAAAATATTATATATTTTTTAAATATATATTCTAGTACAGTATGAGATACAATATACAATATCACCACAATAGACAATATACAATGAGCGTGTCCTGAATGACCAGCTTTGAAAGGTCGTCATTGAGCACTGATAATATCCTTAATTTATCGAAGGAATTAAAACAGTATGCTGCTTAGCAAATTAAATGATTTAAAAGCACTGTACTTACTCCTGAAAAATTTATACTGTTCATGATTTTATTTTAATGACGTAACTAACTGTAATTTATAGCAAACAGATATATTTATTTTCGTGTAATTTAAGAATAGTAAAAAACGCATGACCATTTTAACTCTATACAAGAATAAATATATATAATATAAGAATTTTCTAATACCATACGTTATGCAACAGGTACAAAATAACTACTTGTGTTCTGCCTAACAACTATTTTTTTTTTCAATTTATTTATTTAAATTTTTAGAACATGATAAAAATATTATGCAACTTCCAGAATCATTTTCAAAAAAACGCCTTTCAATTATTACGTCTTAAAATTTTCCGTACCAGGATGAACGAATCTAATGTTTCAAATTTTCGTGATACATAGGTCATGACATGCCACGTGAATAGTTACTAGTGACGCACATATACATTTGATCTCTTGATAACTATGGCCTGGTGATACTGTTTATTATTTTTCCTAGTAACAGATGCTCGTACTGAATGGATTTCAGTCTCGTAAAAGGATCAACATGCAGAACCGAATGAGAGAATCGACATCTTCTACGCATGACCATTACGAGTACATAGTCACATCATAACCCTTAGCTCGGGAATTAGAATGGGAAGCACAACAGCCATCTTTGCAGACATAGTTTGACGTCATCTGCAGTATATCAAAGTATTTTCGCAAGGTGAGTACAGCTGCGGCTAATTTTGATTGCACACCACAGACATCTGTGACGCTAAAGCAGTGCCAAAAATGTCGCACTTTTCAGATAAATACCACTTCAGCAGAAAAACAAACATGAGTGAAAGGAAAATTGTACTGGATCTACTTGGAAATGCTGTTGTTGTTCCAAATGGCCGCGATTGTTACAAGTTCTACTAACATCTTACCCTACTGATAGAATTAAATTTTAACCCGCACCTCTGGCTAGTATGGTGTAGCTGAAATAAACGGAATTCCTTCTGGGAGTTTGTTAGCCCGCGAATCCTGACTAAACCGGACAGTTTAAAGTTGTGTAGTACGGTCGTAGAAGATACGCAGAACACATATACATATTATTATTATCATCTCATCACCGAAAACTTTGCCCAGTATGTACACCATAAGGGGCAACCGTATTACAGCCGCATGAAAGCGAATTTCCATCCCAGTTTTGTAGCATAATATGCCGGAGGATGGATTAAGGGTTTCCCATCGTTCTTCTACTATCAAACTTCTCCATAATACCTTTGGTTCGACAGTACTTTAAAAATGCCTCATCCGATAAAACACTGCACACTTATAAACATCTATGCCTTCTCCGGGATTCGAACTGGGCCCAAAGTTTTGGCAACTGACTTCTCTACCACCATACCAACAGCGGGTCAAATGTTTTATATGATGTCCTTTTATTACACAATAAATACTGCGTGAATACGTTCTAAGTTTTCCTCTTTTGTAATATAATACGAGCCAAAGTCTTCCACGAAGGCATCTCTTCTCAAGCAGATAGCCCTTGTATGCTTTGCCATATTCAAATAGTACGGCCTATATCTTAGCGACATGCAGTTTAATTGCATAAGAATTAGCTATACCTCAATATTATATATACAGCTTAATCCTGGGAAAAGTTTTCGTTCCATAACTTGGCAAATCTCAAGGATCCATAATTCGTAAAGTGAAACTCTTTTAAACTGTGATTCTAACAAACATAAAATCAAACAAACACAGTTGATACGTGATTAAGAACACGTGATCAGGATTGTATACATACGAAAAAGCGAGGTAAATACTTATTAGGTGCTTATCGCCAATGGAGACACCAGTATCAGTTAATGCGTAACTATCCATTTTCCTTTCTTTCGTGGAATTTCTCGCGCAACTTTATTTTTTCCATTTTGCAAAATTGAAAATAAAACTTAATCAATTTTATAATGTTAATATCCAAATATCAAGAAAATATTCGCAAAAGTGGAGAAAATTTCTGATTATATTTGCATATAACAATGCGAACAAAACACTTCATGAAAATTTTAAAATTTTGTAAAAAATTTCACATTTTAACCTCACGTTAACCTCTATACATAGGTAAGAAAATTCGATAGCGAGTTTTCTGTGAATAAGCACGAAGTAGAGACCCCACAATATGCGTTTATTATTTTTAAAATGATGACTGCCTGTCTATATAGCAGGCAGTTCGATGATTTTGTTTCGTCCACAATAAATCTTATATGAAACTTATATTTTCTAAAGTTCCATCTTTAGAAAATTGGAGGAGAGGTAATGTATTCGGTATAAAATTTTGATAGCGAGTTTTCAGTGAATAAACATAAATTAGGGTCCCCATAATACGTTTTTAATGGTTTTGCAGTGATGTCTGTCTATTTGTGTGTATGAGTGTGATGATTTTTTTTTCGTTATAACGAATAATAATTTCGTTAAAATGAATACAATTTCATTTTGTCCGTGAAACTCGTAACAGTTTTAATGAAAACCCATAACAGTTTTCAATGAAAAACTATAAAAAAGTATAAGACAAAACATATCAATTTTAGTATTTAAAACTTTAATATCAATGGAAACAATATAAATAATATAAAAAACTTATTAGATTTTGCCTAAAATTGGTATAAACTGGAAGTGATACTTTACTGGAAATTCTGAAGAGATTTTCGTAAAAATTAAATTTTGAGGTAATCCAAAACTTCTCAAAATTGGTATTTAAAACTGATATGTGATTGAGAACAACATATTACATTTAATACGCGTTACATGCGTACTTGGATTTATGTTAAATGCAACGAGATACGAAGACGAGCTCTCGTTATGAAGCAATTAAATGTATTAGCTTCAATTCCTCAATTGTGCGTCCGATTTACTTTTCTGTCGAATCAATTTTCAAATAAATGGATGCTGCCACCAAATTTATCGCAATGTATTATTTTTAAAGAAATAATTAGCAAATATAAACATTGCAAACATAAAAAAAACTGTATGACAAAAATTAATACTCTATTGGAAAGTCTAAAGATATCCTAAGTTTAAAGATTTTTTGGTAGAATTTTATATGGTGCAAGTGCGAAGATGATATCATAAATTGAGAAAAATAATGACAATGAAATATATGATGACATCTAACACTCTATCAAGTACTCTAAACATATACTGCTTTTAAACACTTTTATTAATCATTGATTTGTGAATCCAAAACACACGCTGACTATAGGATATATTAGAATCGATGCGACATTTTCAAATCACCTGAACTTAGAACTTATGTGTACACGAGCACCTACTGAGCAATGTACGAGAAAACAGAATAATAAAAAGATGAGTAGTGTTTTTAATTAATATTGAGCCATAAAATTTATAAACAAATTGAATTTTGCTGGAGGAGTTAAAGCAGCAAGAATCAGCATAATATTCATAAATTTGTTGGACTAGTTTTCAAGGTTTAAATATAGAATCTACTTCTGCAGCTGAAAAAGATTGCGCTGATTCTTTTTGCTTTAACTTCTCCAATAATCGTTATTCGGTGTGTTAACTCAAATTAGATATTATTTACAAACCATCAAACGGAAGTAATAATTTACTTAAAAGTTAATTCCATGTCTTAGCATGGAGCTGGTGGTATAGACCACGTCCGATTTTTTGAAAAGGTTTCATGTTCCAACTTGAAAGCGCTTACAGTGAAAGTAGTCATAACTATTTCTCATAGATGCCTACTTCTGGAAATAAATAGTGTTAAAACATAAACATCGGAAGTGAAAGTCATCTTTAAATGGTAGCCTC